TCACGCGAACTTAATGAAAGTCTCATCCTCGAAGGAGTAATACTCCTAACGATCGTTGATAAACGTGAAACCGTACAATTCTGTGTTACACGTGAAATCTCTTTGACAAAAACTCTATTCCAGAATCAACCAGCTTGCGATACATTATTTAAACATACACGTACCTGTATACGTCGAAGGTGACATAACTTCTTAAATGTAATACTTCTCCGGCAAGTGAGACATTTTCTTCCCTGTTAGCGATGAAGGGGAAGTGCGGTTTCTTCGTGGTCGCTTCTCGACAAAAATCGAAGTGAAGGTAACTATGAGAGTGAGTCGTTAGTTCCTTCACTTGTGTAGACGAATAGAGAGCGGTTAGAATGTTTATCGGCGATTTTGAAAGGAATCGCTGTCGAAATTCATCGAAACAAAAAAAAGGAGGCCGAAAAAATTCTAAATCGCTACTACACATGGGGAACTGAATTGTGCTGTGCTACTAAATCAGTCAACTTAAAATATTCACTGTAAACATCGGAGACCGTAATCTAACATTTATCCCGATCCGAAATTACCGAAGTTAATTTCAATCTCACGAGTAAACGGATATGCAAATTTCTATTGCCAGAGGCTGTGTCCCATGGAAATTTAGATCGAGCGCTCACTTCGTCAGCCGAGAAATCTATAAATCCCGGTACAAGCGAAGAATCACAGTAATCCTCTCTAAAAGTTTCATTTAATCCGCTCATTTGAGTGTGACGAATGCATAGAATCCGGTGGCCATTCACGAGGAATGAATGAATACAATTGCAATCGTTGTTCCATTAGGAATACGAATTTTTCGCATCGAAAGGAGATACCGGTGACCTCGTTCAAGGCGTATCATGTCACGCGAAACGATAATCGGTCGAGCGTTTCGCGCAAGACCGTGACTCTCGTTACGAATGTACCCTAACCGTCGCGTCGCGTCGGGTTTAACCTTTTCAAGGTTACTGGCACGTACGTGTACGTATGATTTTGCTCTAAAATTAACCCCTTGCCTTGCAATATCGTGTTAGACTCGAGGCGAAGATTTCTAATATGGTTTAACAAACATAAATATCATTGAGTTGTGTTAAGTTTAAATGAAACATTATTGTTGTTAACAATTTGTATGGTGTATACTAAATCTAGACATAGAAATAATGGAATGTTTCCTCTTACTAGTGCATTATTAACGATAAATTGTTCTAATAAATGCACGAAATTAACACTACACCGTGTACTTAATACGATTAATATGTAATTCGTATAAAAATTCTAACAATAGATTATTTTCAGTTCCTTCAGACATTCAGTGTAATAATATTCAAGTGAAACTATTTATTTTCAAGATCATTTCGAATATTTTATGCTTTGAAGATATCAATAATTGCGATACAAAAATGGAAACCTGTCATTTTGACTAGTACGGTAGTTCTAGTGTTAAATCGTAAGGCAAGGGGTTAACCTCTATCAAAGTTATGTTTTTTTACTATGTTCTTTATAAGTGCCTCCACCAGTCTTCGTATTGTTCAATTCGTATCAGTTTTAACGAAATAAACTATAGCCAAACGAAAACTAAAATCACCTGTTTGTTCTCAAGAAGAATTCGGCCCTGAAGAGATTAACCCTTTGCACTCGAGAGGTCACCACTTGATTTGCAGTAAAACTATAAAATTTGATATTCAACATTGAACTGTACATAATGCATCGGTATGAAATATTCAGCTAAAAAAGCTTTGTTTCTCAATTCACTTGTGATTTCTCTTTGAGTTAATTTCAAAAAAATATCGTCTGTGCCTAGTTAGAAAATGTTAAGCATTTCTGACGAAATACCTCCGAGTGCAAAGGGTTAACACTAGGTTTACGGGCATTCATTGTACAGTTTGTTCTGTTATTCGTACAGTAATCAGTGTTTGGCCATTTAGATCTAGGAAATTAGAGTATAATCGCATCAAAGAAAACCGACATACACATCTGTTAAATAATGTTTATAGAATTCAACGCGTGTCAAACCGAAGCGCTCCGTAAACTTTTAGTTTTAACGATCTCGACCGTTCGTTTCCTTCTTCCATTTATATTCGTTTGCCATATTACATACCGCATTAGCAAGTGTTTGCCATGAGGGAAACAAGGTCGAAAGAGGGGACCGACCCCACGAATTTGCACGCTCAGTTATGCATCGAGTTCACGAGGATGACTGATGGCGGACGGACTGCGGAAGATTGATGGCGGGAAGCGAGAGTAATGTGGCGCAGCGCGCGCGATCTAACCCGATATCAACATGATCCTGTGTTTTCTTGCCCACTTAACGAGTCCCGTTTTATTCTATCCCATGTCTTTCTCGCGCGTGGATAATTGTGCAAGTGGAATCGTTTATGATCGTGGGAAAACAAAAGAGCTGAGTTGGAACAGAAACTTTCAATTCCCGACGTTCGAATCTGAAGATCAGCGGAGTCTATTTAGGTTTTGGGAACTTTCGAAACTTGAAGCGTTTGTTTCATTTGGAAGACGAACGTCTTGCTCTGAAAACTGAGAATGTTTTCGCGCAAATCTCTATGGGCTGTAAGAAAATATAAAGAAAGATACGATAGCGTACAGGAATATCGAATTCAGATTTTTGTTTAACGCGTTGAGTGCGCACAATTTCATAGAACAAACTACACTACGGAAGAAATATATATTAAATATATATTATATCATTCAATTGAATTGTATTGTTATTATTGCGCGATCACCTAGTTGCATGTCACCGTGTTAGGTAACACTATTTATAATATAAAAATGTTTTCCAACAATCATCGTTTAATTGAGTGAACTATAATAATTTGATTTGATTGGGGGTCACTGGTGACCCCCATGGTATTCAACGTGTTAAGAACGGAAAACCTTCAAAGATTTATATATCGCTTATCCTTTTGTAGCAAAGATAAAGAACAGTAGTTATTTATTAGTTGGTATCGAAATGCTTACGTCAGACTGTCATTTAGTTATTTACGCTATTAAACAATCTCATTCGATATTAGGTATCTGACAAATTAACATTGTTTTCAAGTGATTCGGATGCTCCGGTCATCGGTGACCACCGTGGCAGTCAACGTGTTAATTCCGAATGATTCTTTGTTCGATTCGGATTTATCCGTCTTTTTACGCGAGTTTCGAATGTTTCGGATCATAAAGGAGCAGAGTTCCGAAAGTTCAAAGTTCGAATGTTTCGGATCATAAAGGAACAGAGTTCTGAGGCTTCGATAGAAACATAGAGAAATCGAAAGATGGAAATGCGACGCAGGTAAGAAAAGAAAAGGAATCGACGATTCTTTATTACTGACAAAACATTACAAAATCGTGTCTCCTCTTATCGATAAGCGGTACCCCCGAAGAATAAACTAGATTATACGCTTATGTACACTCGCGAAACATGGCGGCACTCGTCACTGGAATAGTTCACAGCTTATAAAAGTATAACAACAATAAATAAAGCTAGACGTAAATTCGATAGCGATGCAATAAATATTCCTACTAGATGTAGCTCTATCGGATGTGTTCTAAGTATAATTACAAAACTGCAAAATGTTCGCGGCGCAATGGCCACTTATCACTCAGCGATGTCATTTAAAAATGTCCCCTTAATTACTGTACAAGAACGCTTGGCATCGAGCTGGCGGACGATGAACATGAACATGCACGGACAGTTTCATTGACTATACCCCCTACCGGCGAACGATGCATCGATCGTAGTTCAAAAAGAAATATTCGAATTCCACAACCATCTCATGGGAGAAACGCAGTCAACTCTGGAGGGAGGAAAAGTATAGTTTCCATTTAACTCTGCTGTGTTTCTTAGGTTTTCCTTCTCTTATTATTTTATAATTTTTTTAGTAATTCTCCGAATTCTCAATTTGAAAAATCGATAATAATTCAATCGATATTTTAAACGTATAGAGAAATTGTAGACCTAATAATGTTAAGCTTTCAATGTCTATTCCTTTAATTGTCTAATTATCATCTTTTCCTGCTTTCCAGAATTAAAGATAGCTACAAGAAATGTCAAAAAATCGTATTATCAACAGATTGTGGTAATATCTGTTTAACAGAGAAACAAGAATTCGAAGGAATTCAAAGAAACTGAATCGGACATCGTCATCGAAGGATTGAGACAAATTATTCTTTGATGGTTTGTTACGGGTTAACGAAGACCCAGCATCCGCCTCGATGTTTACCGCAAGAGTTGCTCGTTAACTCGAACACCCCCACGGGCGATGAAAAGGATCACGGCTGACGTAATAAATTCACGGAACGAATTGGCACGCGTTACAGTGAAACAACGGTTTCCTGGAAAAGGCGGTTGTCCGGGCTGTTACGGTGGCTCGGATTACGGAGCTACTTTCGAACGAATCTAAAATACTTTCTACAGAACGATTACACCCGCGGGACTCGTGCTTGTTAACCCTTTACGGACGGGGATTTTCCAGAATATGGGAAACCTCTTTCACAAAAAGACAAACTGTAGTTAGAACAGCACAACATCTTTTCTTGTTCAACCCTTCGAATGTCAGTGAAAATTTCCTTGTAAAATTTATCGTTAATCGTTGGCTATTAGAAATTATACAGAATACTAATTACACATTGGATACCTTTTACTGTGAAGAAGATGAAGAATAAATTTAAACGATTTCACAAACAAGAATGAAATATAAACAATTGGTGTCTATGGAAACATGATATATCACTCTTGTCACACTTTTCACAGATGCATGGAGGTACAATCTATCAGTTTCTGTTACGCGAAGAATTAAACAATTTAACTACTTGTTTGCAACTTCCTGCTCCAAATGCAGAAGCTTGACCTAATTTAACACTAGAACTACTCTCAAGAAGTACTAGAGAAACTGGTTTAGCAATACGCAAACTGAATTGCAAACCAACTGAAATCTCAATAATTGCAATGTTCAGGTTTCTACAGAACAAGTTTAAAAGGACAATTTAACTGCTCGGTGGTTCTAGTGTTAACAATGTTCGTCCTCAAAGGGTTGATCGTTAATTCAAGTCTTTTCGGTCTTACTAAGAGGATTTCCAAGACAGCCGAAGCAATCGCTAAACTAACACGTTTCTCGATTCATAAGTCATTACGTGACTCGTTGCATCACAGATATATCGGGTCTCCGACACGTCCCGGCGATCGAGACAGGAGAGCATTACGTTATCTAGCGAACGGAATGACTCCGGTGATCGAGCAGCTAAGAGGATCACGAATTGTCTCGATAAACGGCTCAAGATCCACAGCTTAAGCCTTCAGGTAACGTCTAACCCGGCTGCTAGCTAGCCCTGCACATTCGCTCCGGCCGAGACAACTCTTATGGCCCGGTCAGTTTTTTCTGTGTGGGAGTTCCGTTACCGCTTCGTTCCGTTTCTGCGGAATGGTAGAAAAACAAGTCCCCGTTCGTACCCCTTTCCTTCATTTGAGCACGGTAATCGTGTTACAAAGTACATACACACGGTCGCTTTGAAGAGTCAGTTAACGCTTTCAAGAAACTACTTCCTAAAAGTGGCGTACTTGCAAAGGAACGATCGGAGTCTCGATTGCCAAGTAGGAAGGTTTAGAAATTTATTGTACGCGCGAACTAAAAAATTACCCGCTAATTGGCCAACAAAGTAGAGAGAAGCTGTAGCACCTACGCGTCAAGAATCTTCCTTCAAATTGGAAATCAAGCAAACATTATAGAATACATTCAGCTTCGTCAAGTTTACTTTACTATAATTTACTTTAGTAGAATCCCCTTGAATAAAGTCAAGATTCAATAAAATACTTTAACGATCAAGTCTTAGACAATCCAGAATCCGAAGTTAATCGATTCGACCAGCGTTCGACCTAAACGGTACCCGAAATCTCCGATACATTCGAATATTTCCAATAACCGTTAACTCGCTTTCCAAGGCGATCGTGTACTCAACGACACGGTAATTAGATTCTAAATCACTTGGCCTCGCGGAGGAAAAGGCTGCCTGAAGAAAAGAGTCACCGGTCGGCCGCCTAAGCATCCTCTAAATCAGCCCCATCCTCTAAATCATGTTCCCCCGAGATCGTCCCGAAGCTGAGGACACGGACTTTATTTATAGTCCCGCTAGGCCTCCAGCCCCGGCGTGTATCCTCGGCTTCGAATACGCTCGTGAATCTATACAAGCTCTCCCTGGACCAAGTACCGTTAGCCCCCGTCAGAATGCAACAAGGAGTACAGCACACTATGGTCCGATCAGATTACCTGAATCGCTACTAGCTCCCGCTAGCTTCCAACGGATTCTTCGATATGGGTGTCAGTATGCTCAGCTCTTGGTCCGAGTTAGGTGGCGTGAGGGTGTCCGCAGGTGTCCTCGGCAGTATCCTCGGCTGGCCGACCTTGGACTCGGCCGAGTTCCCGTCGATCCCCTCTTTCGCCTCGGCGGGATTGTTCACGGTGCACTTCTTGTAATGGGTCCTCATGTTGCTGCTCTGCGAGAACCTGAGGCCGCAGTTCGGGCAGGAGTACGGCTTAGTCCCGGTGTGATAGTTCAAGTGGGTCTTGAGGTGGTGTTTCTTGGTGAAGGCTTTCGAGCACAGGGTGCACTGGTACGGTTTCAAGCCAGAATGGAGCCTAGTGTGCAGAGTCATGTTGGACCGGTCGGCGAAAGCCTTCTGGCAGACCTGGCACTGGTACGGCCGTTCCCCGGAATGCGTCCTGAGATGCTGCTTCAGCAGCATTTTTCGCGAGAAAGCCTTACCGCACTGCTCGCACTGGTGCGGCTTGACACCCGTGTGGATCCGCACGTGCATGTTATACGCGACCCGCTGGTTGAAGCTTTTCCCGCATTCCGCGCACCCGTACTCCTTCCGGTTACGGTGGATCTTCATGTGAGAACTCAGGTAGCCCCGGTCATTGAAGTACTTGCCGCATTCCGGGCAGGTGGCCGCGAACTCCCTGGTGCCCTCGTGAACGCTGCGGTGGTACTTGTAGTTCCGCAGCTGGGAGAACTGCTTGCCACAGTCCGCGCAACGGAATGGCTTCTCGCCGGAGTGCGTCCTTACGTGCACCTGAAACAGAGGCCACAGGGAATTCGTCTTGGGAATACAGCCTGGAGATACAGGATAGGTCGAGATGATGTATCGCGGAGATTCTCTTTTATGGTCGCTGGGCATCTGTGCAGATCAAGGCTTTCGTAGAAACTATTGGATTAATGAATTTAATAATATGTATTCTGAAGCGTATGTTAACTGGAGTTTTAATGAATGTCTTGTAGTTTGTGGGGGATAGAGAAATCTGTCGATTCCATTGCGAGATCGTTGTAGCGGTGACGATGGCGCGATTACGTTAGGCGACTTGCGGTTGGACGACTGAGTCAATCGACTTTGAGTTGTTGAACTTGTCAACTTCGGAGTTCTGTTTTCGACTTCGGAACTTTGAATATTTGAACCTGGAGTTTTTGAACTTTGGATTTGTAAGGTTTGGAGTTCTAGGCTTTGGATCTGTAAGCTTTGGACTTCTAAGCTTTGGATCTGTAAACTTTGGACTTGTAGGATTTGGATCCGTAAGCTTCGGGCTTGTAAGCTTTGGACTTCTAAACTTCGAACTTCTAAACTTTATACCCCCAAACTTCAAACTTCCAAAATGCCTAAACTACACTTTATCTTTCCATCTAAAATTACTCAAACAGAAAAAGAACCAAGTAATTGCATTACCTTAAGAGATGCTCTGGTAACGAAAGTCTTCCCGCACTGATCGCATCTGTGGCTCTCCTGGCTGGCGGCCGGCCTCCCACGTTGCGGAACATCGTTCCCGACGATAGCATCGTTGTTATTGTTATCGCTATTCCTAATAACCCTATCCGCGAGCTTATCGTCCTTCCTCGGCTCTTTCTCCGGCCTCTCTGGTTCCATAACAGCGAAACAACGATCGTTTTTATCATCAGACTCGATCGTGTCGCATAGTCTGCTAACCGGATGAGAGATCTCCGGCTTCTGAAGCTGATGGGTCAGGGCCTGGCCGAAGTAACCGGTCTTTTTAGTAGCATTCGGCTGAACATTCTCATTGCCGATCAACGGTAGCCTCGTTGTCGTCGACACGACGTTGTTCTGCGGTTGCAGAACAGTCTCGCTGCCAGTCGTATCGTTTACAATAGCCGGAATGGTCTCCGGAGGAGTCGGAAATGGGACCTGAGGCGAATAAAACTCCCGGGATCTGATCCCTGGTGCCGAATTAGCCTCCAACAACCTCGGACCAGGGCTATATGGGACTTCCCGGCTGACAGGAGCCTCGACGCCATAATAATGGACCGTGGACGCAGCATTTTTAGGAAACTGAAGATTAGGACTGTACGGAATCGCTGCCGGCTGTTGGGCTTCCGGCGGACGCAAACTTTCTCCGACCTCCTGTAACACGATACAACAAAAAGTTCTTCCTCGGTACTATCGTGCAAAGTTTGCTTCGTCTGTAGATTAACCCTTTGCACTCGAAAGTTCGCCAGAAATAATTAATATTCTCCGACGAGATATAATCCATATTCTTCGAAATTCTCTAATGAGAAATCACACGCAAATTAAGTAACAAAAAACGTTTTATCCCAATATTTCACACGTTGATGCATTATACAATGCTTAATATTGTACACAACACTATAACACGACTACATCGAGTCAAGTGGTGCTCGAGTGCAAAGTGTTAAACGAGCAGTTCGTCTTCGAGAAGTATTTTCTTTGTCGAACCGCTTCAACTCACAAGCATCCCATCTTCCCCAATGACGTGATATTCACGCTCGAGCTACCGGCTGCATCTAAATGGTCCGTTTCACGTTTATATTGTACAATTACCTGACACCGTGAAGTCCTTATACAAGGTATTACTTGACACGCTCGCTTTTTTAGTGCAATAGTTACGACCAATAAACCAATCTCGATAGACATACTTTCGTAGTTTTTATAAGAAGGGGGGAACAAGTTAGTACAGCCGATCAGTTACTTTTAATGTCAATTTATGTGGGGAACAATTGCCTTTCCGTCACGCGCGCGCCATAATCAACGGGTTTAAAGGAACCGAGATAGCAGCCTCGATACAATTGTTCCTCCACTATGTAGCACGGTCGCTGTCCTTGGATCATAATGGCGCGTGGGAGTTCAAAGGCGCGCGGGAGACACTTCTCGGTGTCCAGCGTTGCCGTTCACCCGCGGCTGATCACTGTTATTTCGTGTCACGTGACCACCGCGGACCACATTAATTGCCGGCGTCTAGGGTAATCAAAGTAGCGTGGCTTCCGCAGCACTCTCTCGCTAGTTCGATCGTAAAATCGTTCTTCTTGCGTGGCGCCGTGCCCTACAAGCAATCCCCGGTTATTGCTAGGAAAAAGAGGAATACCGGCCAAGTAATTAAATCACACGTTCCAATCTGGCTCTGGGGACGAACGATTCCGGTTCGAATAATGGCCCCCTATTAAGGTCCCCAGCTCGCCCACTCTTTTAAAGTTATACTCGGAGGGCAAAAACACAGGAATCGGCAACTGGCGCATGGAACCGGTGATCGAAATGCTTGTGTATGCGTTGTTAACCCCTATCCTGAATTTCCATTAATAAACGGTTATCGAGGGACAGATCGGTTTCTTATGTGGAAAGTGAACCGCCGAGACATAGATCGCTGCCTATTTCTCAGGATACATGGATCTCGGAACAATGATTCTTTTCCAGGATTTTCTATTATTACTTAGTATCGTCGTTTCTATCATATCTGTGCGAGATTCCATCAATGTATAACCGTTCGCACTCGAGGGATTTTATAGAGAATTATGAAGGTAGATGTTTAATATTGAGCTACAATGCGTCGATATGTGAAATATTGCAATGGAATATCTTTGTTAATTGATTTATGAGTGACTTCCAGTTAAGTACATTCCAAGAAATGTCTATATTTCATCAGAAATTGTTGAACGCTTCTAGTGAAAAGGTTTCGAGTTCAATAAGATAATAACCTTAGTCTTGCAAGTCGAGGATTTGTAACTTTATCGCAAAATTGGAGCAATACTCTTGTAGCGAATACGACACGTCGGTATACCATTGAAACGATGAAACTTCAGCAGATATATCACACGTGATTCGTTTGTTGATACGAGAAATCTATACAGTCTAAACTACCAAAATGATGGTAACAAAATGAAGTTACTAGATCAAAAAGACTCAAAGCAACAAAGTTGAGTACAAATTAGTTACTTAGTAACACTCGAAGCACGAGTGTCCAGTTAGCTGTTTCCGACGAATACGCTCACGAAGAAATACCAAGATCCCGTTTTACGACGAGTATACCCGTCCAAAAACAGATAACTTCCTTTTTGCACGTTTTCGGTACACACTTTTCAAAGAGGTCGCAAAAGGTAACTGGTTAACAACCATTGACAAGGAATCGAGGCGTTGTCTCGGTCAACGGTTTTGTTACACTTCTTCCCAGAGGAGAAGAAACGCTATCCCCAAGGAAACGAGAACTAGATCGAAGGGGATTAAACGAGCGTGTCAGTCGACAGAGTGAAGAGCACTGTTCGAGAGGAGAAAAAGAGGCCGAACAACGATCAATCCGACTCAGTCCACCGAATTACACCGGCGCGCGGCGACCGCTGCGGCACGATGGAACGCTATCTAATCGGTCGACCGTTCACCGCATCGGTGTTCCTCTTCTTGTCGCCGACAATTCCAGATTAAAACCGCGGAAAAACTTTTATGCTTGTCGTCCGCTGAGGATTTAATATTTCCGCGATCGTAAAACGCAGCGGCGACGCGATAAAATCAAGCCGGCCGCAATAAAGATGCGCGCGGACGGTTCGATAACGGAGCGAGCCGCGTCTGACGGACCCAGGGTCCGCGAGGATATACCCTATTCGCGACGGACGACAGAATTAATGTGAACATGCGCCAAGGTCAACAGATTGTGGCGGCGTCGTGCGTGTCCGCCCACTGCGCGTGACCGTTCTCCAGCATATACACTGCCGGTCAAAAGTTTCGAACCACTTGCGCGTGCAATGGCGCATGTTACACGTTAGTGTACCGTGTAGGAGTATCTGTCATTTCCAAGAGTTTCACAGCAACCTTATGAGAAATGTTGTCGACAGAAGAGTCAGCGTCTACTTACAAACTGGAATAAGAAATGAGAAACTGTGTTTCTGTAATGGAAAGTCAAGGTTACTTGGGTTCCTTAAGATGACATGTTTTTGATTTGGCAGAGTTATAATTGACCCCAAGGTGAAGTCAACTATGTATATAATTGGTGCAGACTGTAACTGTTACTATTGAGGAGATTGTTAAACTTCACTTTGTCTTAGACTAATCTTTTACTGTTACTATTACTTGGACTGTTTTACAAGCTCTAACATGTAACAATACCGGTTCGTTCATAGAAGCATTGATGCAGTCGCAAAATGCAACTGTATTTCTGCTTTCTTTTAGTGAAACTAATGAAACTTTTATAGAAATTGATCATAGGCGATCCTTCTCGATTATCTACTCTGACCTGCACCTAAGGATTTCATTCTGTTTCAACCGAGAAAGGTCATGAAAGGACAAGTTCTGCGACCATGTCTGCAAGAAGATGCTGTAACGACAATACTAGAATCGATTCTTATAAAAGTCCCCGTCGAAAGAATCTTTCTTCCATTGTTTTCGTATGCATTCCTAAAATTGAACCCACGTGTTATGATACGCCCTGTACATCGGTGTCTCTCGGGAACGGTCCGGTTTATAAAGTTCAAGACCGGTACACGGCGTCCCCTGATAGCTGGAAAATGGGTAACAAGTTAATTCCCTAAGCATGTATGTTTCAATCGAACGAATCGGCTTATCCGTTAAAGTAGCTAGCCACACGAATCGATCCCTCTCCGGTAATCGGATTAGAGAAACTTTCGTGCGAACCCCAATTTCGATGGAACATTTTAGAGAATTCAAATTGTAGAGAAGGATTCGTTACGGTGATTACAAGATTCTTCGTGACTAATAAATAAAGCGGAAACGCCGTTAATACTCCTTAACTCGAGTACTTCCTTGAGTATCGATGATTCGGTTTGATAAAAATGACGAGGTGGAAACGTTATTAATACTCGGAAACACATTCTTGTGCATTACCAATTCGCGAACGCCTGATACACGCGAACGTCCGAAAGTTAACTAATAACCGTGATTCCAAACTGGAAATGAGCAAGTTTATTATCTCAGGAGAAAATTTCAGAGGTATTCAAAGATTCGCGGCGCCGTATTTCGCCAGTGTTGCAGATAACTTCATCGTGTGAGTGGTCATCGGTGTCGGTGTCAGCAGCAATGTTGGTAGAGAGTATAGTTGTAAAATTTAATCTGATTACGCTTCAATACTAATGCGTAAATGACTACGGGTTGCTATCTGTAATCGTTAATTAGGATTTGTTTTAATCGCCTGAGTTTCAGTCCTGAATTACTGGAAATTGACAGTTACGAAGATAACTTGTAAAAAGAACATGGAATTAAGACCAAGAAGAGTTTTTCCCCGATAAACATCCAATTACGAATGGTATTTTAAAATTAATGAATCAATTGATTATATGGGGTGCCTGCGAAATTAAAATTGGTAGAAAGCACAGATGTTGTTTTCAACAATGATGATCTTACCGCAGCGATCCTTAGTTTCGTTTAATTAGACTGTAAGAAAAATAAAAGGAAAAAAAAAGTATGTAAAGAAGTCAGAAGACTATCTAATTAAGTTATGAATTATTTTATATATTTCCCTGCTATTCCTTATACCTCTTCCTCGATTTCTATATTGTGTCGAAGAGTTTAATTGTTCATACGACGAAAGATCGATTGGTTTTCCTTATTTCCTAATATTCAAGAATTCGATATTTAATTTAGCTGTCTACGAAAAAGAATCTTAACCCCTTGCCTTATAATTTATTTCGTAATTATGATCGATACTACTTCATCGTTAATAATTTATTAGGAACAAACAAAATTTCATGCTTAATCTACGGCTATGTTTACTTCAAAGGTTAACGAGTGACAGTAGAAAAGTAATATTTAATTTATATTTAAAAACAATAAATAACACTTAGATCTCTCAAATGACCCAATTTTGCCACATTAAAATTTTCATCACGAGTCTGACACGATATTGTAGGGTAAGGGGTTAATGCCTTCAAACGTCCCCGTTCGTAGAGGGTTAAGTTAACACTAAAACTACCAGACGGGTCAAAATTACCCATTCCTGTTATCCTCTTCTTGCAATTATATAAAAGATAACAGACGTTTCTCTGAGCAATTATTGAAGAAATTGATTTAACAAAGCGCAAGCTTAACCCCTTCACTTGCACGCTCGAGTTAATTCGAGCGCGTTAAACAGGCCAAACTATGAAAATAACAATGTGAAAGCAAAGAAA